CCTTATTGATTTATGAAGAAAGTCTTGGTCTTAAGAGATTTTGGAATTAATACATTAGATTTGACTGACAAAGTTGCCGTTTTTTCATTTTGCAAACAAGATATTCATATCTGCAAAACACATGACACAGTTTTGATGAATTGTGATTCATAGCTAGTAAGCAGTAGGTATAAATGAACAGGCATTTAGCACCGTTTGTCCACGCACCTCTGAAAGTAATTATAAACTACACAACAGGCACATTTGTCAAACTGTGCTCAGTGAGTCTGTTTAGATGAGTTCTGAACGTTGTGCATGCCACGATATTTTCAACTCTGCACAACAACACATTCGAGAAAGCAAAAAGCATGCAAAATTCACTTTTCCCTCAACTTTTTGGGACTGCACTGGCCTCCAGTACTGATAAGCTGACTTACAAAGGAATGACACGACAAGGACAAATCTTTGTGTTTACAGAAAGGAATGTCTTTGAAACAAACCGTGATCGATAAAAGCCGTTGAAATTTGAAAAGAAGCTCACAAGACAGTGATTTAGAAAAGGTATTGAGAAACCGTCTGCGTTACACTTACCTTTGCCGATTCCAGCATCTCTTGCGTTTCGTCCTGGGAGTGATTTATAAAGACGTCGCCGATTTGATAAGGGATAAATAGAGAGTTGTCGTCAAACAGCATTAGGTCATCACTGGCATCCTGAAGGTTCTGAAGAGTTTTCTGCACGAAGACATTCACAGTCAGTCAGTTTGAGGTGGTTGCAAATAAACCTCGGTAGTTTAGGCGTCATTTAGCATCACAGTTCAAGATCAGTTTGTATAATGCATCATTCAAACAACAAAACTGGATGAACTGTAAATGTTAAATTATCTTGATGTTGCAAATGGGGGGGGGGGTATACACAGCAAATTAGCAGCTCACAGCTGACCACAGCTGATGAGGGTGTGGGTAACAACACACAGGGACAACACAGGGGCTGAGAATATGGTGCAAGCCAAACTTTTCACATACATTTCTCTCTAGAATACAAATGTGAAGGATTTGAGGTTCATTCTGCGTTTCTTCAATACTGTAATGATTTACTGAAGTCAAAAGGAATTTGACAACTGCAGGCAAACAACTCATCTACTAATGTTTCTACAAAATCCTGAATGAATCCTTTATTCTGGAATGCCTGAAAGACCTCTCGCAAGATTTAAATCTCACAAGAAGAACAACATTAATGCATTACCCTTCAGATCTAGGATGGAGGGACTAACAGCATCTGCAGCTATCTGACAAAGAGCTGCGCATAAAGGTGAAGCTGTCAATTCCCTGGCCAACTGGTTCTTAAACTGACCTATAACAAGATCAGGTACAAGCAACAGAAATGAGCTTCCTCGTAACAGCATCTGGTTTCAGCTTTAGAGATTGAGGATGAGGAGCTCAGTTACTCAGGAGGAACTTGGTACAGCTGCTGCTCTGCTGATCATTAGGAGCCAGTTCTGGCATCTGATTAGGATGCCCTCTGCACACCTCCTCGGAGAGGCATTTCAGGCATATCCAACTGGGAGGAGATCCCAGGACATGAGAACATCGATTGAGTCGGTTCTGGGGTAATTTTAAAGTAAGATCATTAGAAACATCTCCATGGATGTTCGTCAATCATTCACCAGCAACACAATGTTTAGCTTCCATAATGACAACTAATTAAAGTCACTTTTCCAGCAACTAGGCTAGAGAGTTAAACCAGTGCACAAGTGACAAAGGAATGAGTCTACTTTGTGTTGAATTCAAACACAAGCCCATTCAAATAAAAAGCGAAATAGTCAGACTTCTCCTCCAGTCATTAGCCCAATTCAATCTTCCTGATCAGAGTGCCAGTTGTCATTTTGAATTTAATGTAATAATTTTATCTAGATATAAAAACTCACATCTGGGTGTAATTTGACTTTTGTAAATTTAATTGAACACTAAATCCTTGCTCCGATATAAGACTATAAAACATGTCTTCCCAGCCCCGGTAACACTCACCCTCTTTTCCAATATCTCATTCTTCAGCTCCGTCATCCGATTCGTGTTCCTGGCAAATTTATTGATCTTCTGCTGGTCTTCAAATGTTACATTCACATCTTCAACTGCCTGCAAACAAGGAGAAATGACTTGAGGTTGCAGTTCATTTTAGCCTGTTAAACATGACAATCCTAGATGCGCTGACAGAATTTAACTTATTCTGCTATGAGTTATAACTACTGATCAGCAGCAACTTTTCCAAAGATGAAATCACAAGCATTACAAAGACATGCTGTGTTAACTGAAAAAACAAAAAAAAAAAAAAAGACCCACCACCTTATGAATGGAGAAGCATTTAGTAAGATTAAAACAAGCCTTATAAATAAAGAATGTGTGGTGGTGTTGTTTTAAATCAAGCGTAAGGAATAAAACCAAAGAGCTGTATTCAGTTTCATTTAGAGTGACCAAGTGGCCTACTTTAAGCAGGATTGCACAATGTTTTTATTTTTCACCTCCTGTCCTACATTTCGAATTGGCTCCAATTCACCACAGCACAGGTCTGGCTTTTGGCTGACTATATAACGAAATCTACCACAAATAAAAGTTATGTGGTGTGTTTTTGCTGGCACTAGACTGCAATTTCCCTTTTGAGAGAGTAGAATCAATAAATAAACTATGCATTTTTCATTTGAACCTCAAATACATGTAATCTGGTTGATTTGTCCAGTGCTAAAAGAAATTTATCAGCGCATCCCTCCTCAACACAAAGATTATTAGGAGGGGAACAGCAGATGAAACACCAGAACAAATATTAAACAAGTACTGCCAACCAAGACCATTGCATTAAAAAAATAAAAAGCAACAGCTGGAAAATTGGTTGTAAAGGTGCATATAGATTTGTACCCGTCAGTCACATCCTCTGCAACCCGCATAGCTTTATCAGACTGCCCTCTTAGCATTAGCGTAACCCACATTGTCCAACACATGAAAACTATTTGCTCCACATTTGGCTTGTTGTGATATGGTCATCCGACTGTGCTGTTGGCCCCTCAGAAACATTTAAATATAAACTGAGTGAGACTGAGCAGGGTATTGGTCATTTATTGGGGACATATACTGCTTTAGCTTGTCGTTTCTTAGACAGTTAACTACAGGCCGATTTTTATTTTGTTTGCTAGCATGCTAGCTTGGGTGTCCCATCACCTGCAGCGGCCACTGCCCTGATCTGGATATTGAGCTCATTGTTTCACCACATAGTTGTTAAGCTCGCACGAACAACAGCTGCAAAATTACAACGTATGTCGAGCTAGTGTTTTAACCCAAGGAGATATCGCTTTACGGTAGCTACACGAGGGTGTGACGGCGCTTTCAAATATCACCGCCGTGAGAAAGCTCGGCGTCTTACTCGCACACATACACGATGCCACCTTCTTTCTGCATCCCCTGTTAAAACAGCGATAGAGTAACGCATATGCAAGACAAAAAAGTGGATTTTTGTTTAAAAATATTCCTTACCACGGATGATTTCATGGTCGCTGCCATCTTTGCTTCTTCGACTGTTCACCCGCAGCGTCGCTCAGCGGGATAAATACCCCGACACTGCCACCTATCAGCAGGCCTGCTCTGGCGTTTGACCCCCACAAGTTGGCCAGAAAATGTGTTTACTTCTCTCAAACTGTTTGTTTAGTTCTTTTCCTTCTTTTTGAGTTTTCGTGTGATTGATTTGTTTATTTAGTTGAGTTCATGTTCTGGTAACTATAGTTAGATATGTCGCAAGATGCTTTCCCTTACATTTACATCTTGAAGATGAAATTTGACTTATTTAAAAAATAATTCAGCCATTTTTTTTGTTCTGTTGTAGGTAATTATCTCAATAAATGTGCAAACGTGTTTTACACTGGTTGTGTAAAGCACTTTGGGGTCCTTAGGGACTAGAAAAGCGCTATACAAATACAGGCCATTTACCATTTCAATACGCCAAACAAGTTATTATGCCAACCGGAACTGCTGTTCTGTAAATATTTGCACACAGTACTGCACCCAAGTTCAAATATTTAATGAATACATCTGTAATGGGAGAAGACTAGAAATTCATATTTGTCTAGACCGAATTACAATGCACCACCTGTAGTTTTAAGCATCACTGGCATTTTGGTCTGAGTGAAAAACAAATCATAAATATGCAGGTTTTTCTGTCTCAAAGTCAGCAGTCTTTATCTAACTTTGTAGGAGCCACTAGCATACCTAGTAGGCTGTTACACGTTGGTGCACCATGAAGAGTTTTCTTGAGGCCCCTCAGCTGCAGGCCTTGCATGAAGTCACCAAACAGGGGAATCCAACTCCCACCTCAGCATGCAGTCTATAGGATACAGTCGAGCCATTGTTTTCATGGATTCCAAGGCTTGCCATAATAAAGTCAATAAATAGTGCACATGTTATAGTCTTTTTTAGTTTGTTTGTTAAGCATGCTTGTTTGTGATAAAACGCTTTCACATACTTTGGTTGACATCTTCCAGGAGTCAAATGACTTCTAGAAGTTAAATCCAATAAACAAAAGCCTTTGTCAGCATTATCATGGCCTAGTTACAAAAAAAAAAACATAAAGATGAGTTCATCTTCAATACCATATTGACATACAGTGCTAAACAATAGTATCTAACTATGGACACACAGCAGCCTTTAAACACAGACATTTTGACACAAAGCTTGTTACCCGCCTTGATGACCTCTTTTCTTTTTTTATCAGATAATACCAAAACAACATAATAGGTATGTTAAAGCACATCTGTGTGATTAGATTTATTTTTTATCAATCAACTGCATCTTTAAAGACTAAATCAGTAAAAAAAAATGCTTAAAGTGTTATCTTCAAATTAACCAGTGCCAACATAGTTATTTTGGGTTTTGTCAGTGTGGATGCTTGCCAGACCAGTATCCTTAATATACATCCTGTTAGGTCCCCGCCAGATTGGTCAACAAACTGTTTGGACCGCCTTATCACAGCAGGCTTGGACAGATTCACACCTCATTATGATCTCGTCAGGGTATGTTCAGGATGCCACATGGAGATTACTGTGAGTTGATCAAAGTACCAATACAGCGCACTTTCTTTTTTTTCCAGAGGAAATCCAGCTGCCAACTTGAAAACAGACCCACCCATTTTGACACACACATAAAGTGTCCAGTTAACAAAAGTCTATATACATAGTTGGGCAAAAGGAGGAAGTCCATCTCAGACAGACACGCCGTATCCTTAAGAAGGAAGTCAAGTAACAAGGTAAGACATTTCACTGAAAGCAGTATTAAAATTTTTAAATGGCTTTGCAAAAGTCTTAATAGATGTTAGCCATTATTTGCAGATTGTCTTTGCTTATCAGTACAATATAGCAATATGACGTTTCTATTTCATTTAATTCTATTGCAACCTGCAGATCTTAACTGGGAAAAAGATGGGAAACGAGCAGTCAGTAAACATAGAAGAGCTATCCAAGGTAAAACGATGCAAATTACATGGCAGACATTACAGGCTAAAAGTTGCACGTGCCATTTTCTATATTTGATGACATCAGTCACAAGATGCACACTTTTCCAAAACTCTAGCATGCACAGGTGACAGGTGATAAAACTCTGCTTCTCTTTAAAGATAACCCATCTAGACTAGAAAGCACAATGCTGACGTTGCTATTTACTCACAGAATGGGACAATTCCTGAAAAGCATGAGAATGGAACCGTGAATGGCATCTCTATAGAAGTCACGTCTGGCGGACTGGAGATTAATGGTACATGAGTTTTATTTTATTTTTAATTTCTCTTAGGATAAATAACATCCAAGTAATCTGTGATGATGTTCTGCCTGATCTACAGTGGTGGTGCCACTGTAAAGCATGAGCAAATCAATGCTCAACACTGGCAAATTAAATTCTTACTTAAGAATGAATTTTATTAATGTCAGACTGTTGTGTTTTACTGTATCACGCTTTATGCTGATATACTTTAAGGTTCTCCTTCAATGAAAAAAAGCAAATTAATTTTACAAATTTATTAGTGGTGATTAATCCTTTAATCCTTTTAATACTCTGCAAACACAGTGACTCCCAGTTGCACGGTGTCTGAGTAAACCACAGGTGTTTTCTCAGGAATTAACAAGGAGCAAGTATTTGACTTGTCAAGGTGTGGTGGTTTGTGTCTTCACTATAAAAATAAAATACTGTGGGATTCCCATGGCTCTTGACTGTTGATTCCTGAGATAACGTTCTCACACTGACTTGCCCGTGTTTACTAGCTCATGGAAATTTTGCTGAATTTTATGGCAACTGTTTAAATTCTCTTTAAGCTAGAAGTAAAAATCACTCTATGGGCTAATACTAAACAAAATGACACCTATGTTTAAAAATAAATTCCATAAAACCCAGAAATGTTCATTTTGACCCTTTTAAGCTGACTCATTAGGGGGATGTTTATTAAGGTGGAAGTTCATAGAAAAGGTCCAGAATCAGAATCAGGAAATCGCTTTGTAATAGACATTTAATTAAGGTGTAATAAGGTGTGTCATTCAAGCTGCAAAATATTAAATATTTATTTAATATTTTGCAGCTTGAATAAAAAAACTATGTTCAGTATTTACAAGATTCAACAAATGATGTTGCCAGGTCCAGATGTCGCAGGGAGGAACTGATACATTTTAACAGGAGTGATGTGCTTTGACGTTCCATGTTGCATTGCTGTGGTATTAGCCTTTGGTGAATGTGCTCCTATTACTGCCTAGCACATCATGGACGCAAAGTGAAGCATTATCTATGAGTTCACATGACTTTGACATTTTTCGCCAAGCTCCACAATTTCCAGATTTATGGGCCTTGAGGATCACTTTGTTGAGTTTGTCGGTGTCCATAAAGGTGCTTAATGTAGTTTCCTTTAGTTAAAAGTAACAAAACACTTTCCCCAAATTAACTAAAGCTATGACGTGATGCACTTGTTAAGACTTTGGGTTTAAAATCTCTATATATTGTGTTGAAGAGATATCAACTGAAATGGAACTAGAGCTGGGCTGCACTTTCATGCAATGCCAATTTGTACCACTAGGTGGTATAGTAAGTCCATGTAATCTTTATTTAAACAGACAAGTAATTTATTGTTGTTTACAATGGCAGCCTGGCAAAATGCAAAATATCCAAAGAAAGAAAGAAAGAAAGAAAAAAAGAAAGGAAGAGCACCACCACACATCTGAAAACATCTGAACACACCCAGTGGTAAAATGTTGCTACCTGGTCTTTAAGCATATATGTCCAACTGTTATTTTATAGTAATTTTTTTCCTGAAAAAAAAAAGAAATTTAGCCTGGGTTTAACAATAGTTTCAGTCCTTTGTTTCAATGTTTTTCCTGTATGTGGCATTTTGCTTATTTTGCCACTTTTTTATTTTTCAGGTAAAAGTGAAACTACAGTCTGCCAAAATGGCAAGGCCCACTCTTTAAACTCTGCCATACAATCAACTGATGTGATCGTCAAATCAGAGTGTCAACCTGATATTGCCCAAGCTGTTTCTGAAGTTTCTGACACCAAAATCCAAGCCGTTTCTGAAGCCCCTGACACCAACACCCAGAAGGAAGAGGTCAAGAAAAGCAAAGGAGAAAGAGGTCGTCGTCATTTTGGCAAATTGTTCAAAAAGAAAACAGAACCTAAAGCTGAAGCTGAGACTGTTGAAGAGAAAGAAAAAGAGACACAGAGTGAAGATCAAGTGGATGTAAGTGTTCCTCCCACTGAGCCACAGCAGGTGAGGGCACTTTTCATGTTTATTCTCATCAGATGAGTCTAGTTGTTTTTTTCTATTTGCCAACAAAACTGTGAAGAGACAAGCGGAGCAAGTCAGGTTACTTTGCATAGCACATTTTACACACAAGGGCAATTCAAAAGGATTTTCTAATGTACGGATGAATGGCCACTGGAATCTATGATGTATGAACTGCAATGAAAGTATGCAAAAACACAAATAAACTCATAGTAGAATTTTAAAGGTAATGGTAATGTTGCCATATCAATTAAAAGCAATGGGAAAAGGAAAAGTCTTTAGCTAAGTTTTAAAAACTGATCAATTATGGTAACGCTCATGTTGTGCAATAGACCTCCATTGATTCTGAAAAACAACAACAATAATGTAAATACATATAGCAGATACAATGCTTGCCCTTAATTAAAAAAAAAATAAAATGGAACCACACACCTTCCTTTATTAGAGCGAGCACACACACTGTGTTGTGTTTTTGAATTATGTTATTTTATCATTCTGCAGCTAACATTAACTAAAACAGAGTAAGCAGGAGTGCATATGCCCAAGGGTATAACCCTTTTTAAAAAAATAAATAAATAAAACAAGATAAATATGTCACACGTTGTTTGTCTTTGACAAAGATTAGTGGGCGTGGGCCTCTGCAGCACTGACGCCGACGCCCACGACAGGAAATTCAGAGAGCACAAAGATGTGTTGTGCTGTTTTTGTCAATTATCAGTTGACCAGATAGCCAGAAGACACTTGGCATAATCAAAATTCCCTGATGTCAACTTTTAGCTGTGCAAGGAAAATTATTTTATTTTGTCAGCCTGCCAAACACTCATCATTTTAGCAATGTAATGTAGTCCAACACACCAAGCATTATATGCATTTAACTATGTTTTTCCTTTTTGTTTTTTTGTTTTTTTAGCTTTGTTTACAATGGGCAACATAATGTAGAATAGCGCTTATTTCAAAAAACAAACAACTAAATAAGCAAGTAAATAAATACAAATGTAAGCATGTTACACTACATGACTAATTTTTCTGATTACTCGTGATAAACCACACGATTATCATGAGTGCCCTGGGAAATAAACACAAGTTGTATGTTGGTTTACATAATTTAATACAAATGGAGCGGAAGCTGGCGTTATAACTCACATTGACCATCAAGACGGAAATAAATGAACATTAAAAAATTGAATTAGCAACATAAAAGCAGATATTTCAACACAAATGGGTGATGGTCACTTTACAGCCACAACTGTGGAGGATACACTGAGTGAACATGCCATTAGCAAAGCTGAGGAGCTTGTTAGAGACCCTTTAAAAGATGAAACATCAACGTTCAGAGCAGAGAGGGTTGAGAAATCTGACTCAAAAGATGACACTGTTGCAGAGGGACAGACGAGAGAGAAAACTCTGGCAAAGGAGTTCACTTCCACCATTCCAAAAGCTGCAGCAAGTTGTGTTGAAGCAGTTTTGGCAGTTGCCTCTGACTGCGCAGTAATTGCGTCAGAGCTGGGAGTAGGTGAAGCAATTACTGAAGACAACAGTAAAGGAGCTGCAGACAAGTCAGCTGATGTAGTGCTGATTGAAACCGCTGAACCCGAATCTAATGCTGTCACTCCTGAGACCGGGGAAGCAAATGACATTACCTCCCTAGACAAAGAGGCTGTGACTGGAGTGACGGAAACAATCTCTGAGGTTGTTCATGAGAAGCCAAACTCCGCAGCCGTAAATGAAGACATGCCTGTAAAAGAAGCCGCTGTCCGTTTTCAGAATGGAAATCTAGTTAAGGTGGATCTGGCCCATGAGGAGGTCACTCCTGATGATGCGCCACAGCTGATGATGTGCTACAAATAAGTGAGCAAGGCAATATTAGCCCTATAACTACCAATGAGTCTGGAGAAATGTTCGGTAGTTGTCCCAAAGAAGAAATTAATGTTGCAGAAGCCTGAAGCTACTTTAAAATCTCCAGCAACTGAAGTCAATCCACATTGTATTCTAGAGATTATTATAGTAGACATCGAAGTTGAAGAACATGTGATAACTGAGATAGAAACAGAATCAAGAATTTGAACCACGCTTCAGGAGCCTGCAGTGGATAACAACAGCACCGTCAAAGAAGAGGACATTGTGGCAACAGCTTTTGTGCTTCTCTCTGGAGAACATGAAGAGCGTCTTTCCCATTCAGAACAAGCTTTTTCAGATCAAGCTTAAACAGTGGCAGACAGTGTTGAGGAAAATACTTCAGTCCAAGGTTTATCTACTGAAGGAGAGGTAGAGGTTGCAAGTTCTGAAAAAGCTGTAGAAGAAAGTGACATAGAAAAGGTTAAGAATCTAAAGATAATGAAAGCCACGACACACCTGAACAAACCCTTGTGATCTTAGAGGAAGCAGGACGAGAACCCAAGCCCTTTGTAAAGAAGATGGTAACAGCGAGGGTTAGGGTTTGTTTTTTTCAGAAATCCTACAAATAATTTAAACAAACTTGAAGAACTAACAACTGAAGGACACCACAGAAGATTTAGAGCCTTATGTTTTAGTCTATGAAGAATACTGAGGAGAATACTGCCCTGGAGAATGCTGATCAAGGATAGATGTTGTCATGTGTGATTTATATGTGAGCCTTGGGATTAAATCCTAAAAAGATAATCCAACCTTGTTTTTGTTTTATTTCTCTAAATAGCCTGGGAAAGATAGTAGAGAACAAATAAAAATGAGTCACTATTTCTCATCCTTGAGACAACTGAAAATGAACATTTCACCTCTGAAGATTCTTAAACTGCCATCTGATGAGCCTGTGGCAAAGTGTGGCGATGCACTCCCAGGCCAGAAGTTAAATACACCTCTAGGTGGAGAGTGATACTGAAGAGACGCATGAGAGGCGGTGCAAACCGGATAGATTCAACATGTGATGTACAGAATTTCCTTAAGGCGTCTCAGTCACAAGCTCAAACATTGAACGTTTACTTCTTAGGTTTCAGTCACCTATAGCTGTTGAGAAAAACAACAAGCCTGGTGACTGAAAGATTATTTCACCAGTCCTCCGTATTATTGACATCCACGAGTCTTCAAACAAACAAATAAATTATGAATGAGCAGTGATCAATAAGCTGACACGGAAATATTAATTTGAAGTTTCTTTTTCTCATTCATTCATTATTTCAGTCATACTGTGTTTAATGACAAATAATACTTAAAGGGACATATTGTGCTCATTCTGTGCTTTATGTTCTTAGAGATTTTATTCAATTCAATTCAGTTTTAATGGTATAGTGCCAAATAACAACACTTACTCAAAGTGCTTTATATTGTACAGAGAAAACCCAACAAATGAGACGACCCCTTATGGGAAACACCCACTTGATAGAAGTGGGAAGGAAAAACTTGCTTTTAACAAGGAGAAACCTCCTGCAGAACCAGGCTCAGGGAGGGGCAGCCATCTGTTGTGACCGGTTAGGGGTTACAGAGAGAAGACGGGACAAAAGAAACTCCCTGACAGAGAGCCAGTTTGACAATTAAGATAATAAAGAAGAGAATAAAAAATGATTAAATGCAAAGTGGTGTATAAATATAAAGACAGTGAAAAGAAATGAGTGAAGATTATCTAACATGTCTAGTCTTTTTACACACAAAGTCTTGGTTTTTTACACTTTCACACTTTCACACATACATACATATATATATATATAAAACACAAAACAACACCCAGCACGCCCCTGCGGGCGGTTTATCCTTCAAGCTCGGGTCCTCTACCAGAGGCCTGGGAGCTTGAGGGTCCTGCGCAGTATCTTAGCTGTTCCCAGGACTGCGCTCTTCTGGACAGAGATCTCCGATGTTATTCCCGGGATCTGCTGGAGCCACTCGCCTAGCTTGGGAGTCACCGCACCTAGTGCTCCGATTACCACGGGGACCACCGTTACCTTCACCCTCCACATCCTCTCGAGCTCTTCTCTGAGCCCTTGGTATTTCTCCAGCTTCTCGTGTTCCTTCTTCCTGATATTGCTGTCATTCGGAACCGCTACATCGATCATATATATATATATATATATATATATATATATATAATATATATATATATATGATATTATACAAAGCAAATTACAAACCCCTCATCATCAGTGGCACGCCAGTGGAGAGAGTGGACAGTTTCCGATACCTGGGTGTCCACATCACTCAGGACCTGTCATGGTCCTGCCACATCAACACCCTGGTTAAGAAAGCCCGTCAGCGTCTCTTCTTCCTCAGAAGACTTAGAGACTTCCATCTGCCACTGAAGGTGCTCAAGAACTTCTACTCCTGCACCATCGAGAGCGTCCTGACGGCAAACATCTGCACCTGGTTTGGGAACAGCACCAAGCAGGACAGACGAGATCTGCAAAGGGTGGTGCGCTCGGCAGAACGCATCATTCAATCAGAGCTCCCTGACCTGCTGTCCATCTACACCAAGCGGTGCAAGTCCAAAGCTAGGAAGATTATGATGGACCTCTCCCATCCCAACAATGGACTCTTCTCACTGTTGAGGTCTGGGAAGCGCTTCCGCTCCCTTAAGGCCAAAACAGAGAGAATGAGGAGGAGCTTCTTCCCCCAGGCTATTCGGGGCCTGAACCAGGTGTAGGACTGGACTCTCCCAACACGTCACCACACGCACCACCACACATTTCCTATAATCCTATAATTCCTATAATTTATAATCCTTATCTTTATAATCTCTTCTGCTATTTGCACATTCTTTACTGTAAATTCCTAAGTTAATTTGTAAATTTTTGTAGTAAACTGTAAATTGTAAATATTGTAAAACTTTTCTTCTGTCATTTAATGGTCGGGCATTGTACAGCTACAAGCATTTCACCCCCATGTCATACTGTGTATGGTTGTGTGTGTGTGACAAATAAAATTTGAATTTATGTATATATATACATATATGACTGCTGGATTCAGTCATTTAATCTGAAGCTGGTTCCTTCATTTACATTTTAAACAAATATCCCTCTATTTACCTGTTCTGTATATAATACAGGAATGATTAATAGCAGCCACAATACATTTACAGTTACATAAAATTTAGCAGTACTTGCCACAGGGTCCACACAATCCTGATGGTCATCAAAAACATCTTCAGCTTTACCAGAACTAATTATCATCTGCTTAGATATATAACATAGATACAGATTTATTTGTAATTCTTCATGCTGTACATTTTGGTAACTGCTGAGTTATGTGTGGGCAACATTCATTAAGCAAATGCATTCACAGGGCTAGGACGAACTGAACGTTATATACAGTATATGAAAATCAAGAGAACTGGTATTTAGAATAAATCTTTTTAAAAAGCAAATAGATGTTAGTAATCACTGCATGGGTTCATACAAAGTCTTGTTCAGACTGCCACATTCGTTTAAGGAAGAGATAAGCTGCATGTAGGCATACATACACTTTGATCATTATAGTGCTGAAGATAAGGGCCCTCGTGTTCCTCACTTCATCCGCTACTTAGAGCAAACGTTTATGCTCTCTTTCCTCTGATTTAAACCTTCTTTCTTCTGATTGGCTGCTCCTCGTAAGTAGAAAGTGGGTCTGGCTACTGTGAGCTGACCTGTGTGACCTGTCTATGTTGCTGGTCTCATTAACTGAAACTTTGGCAACATTTATTTTGGTGCTTGTAACGGAAAATATGGAAAAGCAAAATAGGCCACCTCTACAGTTTCTAATGGGATAATAAATTGGGCCAAAATAATGTATCAAGATTGCTGGAAGAAAAGGCAAAAAATGTATAAATGAATTGACATTGGTTCAGTTCACATATTTTATAGATGCACACCATACGGGCATAGCTAGGTATTTGGTTTTCCTGACATTTCTCGAGAAATAACTCTCACACATTGTTGAATATCAATGACTGAGGGGTGGGACACACACATTAATAAAAGGGTGATTGTTGACAATGCCCCGAGTAGGCAGAGGCATGGTTGGAATTGTGCTCCCATCTCAATACTGCGATTAAGACACTCACTGCTTACATATCAGCTCCGCTCTGCTCTAACATAATTCTCAAAGGCGAATTCTTTTGTCATGGTGTACAGGAGACGGCTAACCTAAACCACGAGCCTGAATCATTAAAGGAGCCAGAGAGGGTGACTCCAGTCTCCAGTCCCAAGGAAGAAAACGTTCCTGAAACTGACAACGGAGACAGTGAGCCCGTGGAAAGCAAAGAGGAGAGTAACCCAGAAGAGAATCCAGTTATGAACTTCTTCAAAACCCTAGTAAGTGGCATCATTTGGCAATTTAAGGTGACTTTTTATGCTCCTGCTATTTCTGTTTATCATGTCAAATTAGACTATTTGGGGGGAAAGGGAAAGAACATATGTGCTTTTTTATCTGCTTCTTTTTCTGAAGAGAAACAGGCAAAAAAATTAAAAATAAATAAAATGAGGTTAATGCGTCTTCCAGTTGTGCCCCAGTCAAAGTGAGATGTGTGGTCATTTTTCCAATCATTTAGCAGTAATAAGTAGTAATATGCTTGAAAATGTTTCATTAGTTTGTGTGTATTTTTGATTTTTTTTTGTTCTATGTAGTGATGTGGGAAGGCGGTATAACTGTATATGACTTTAAGTGTAACCATAGCGAAATCTGCCATCATGACAGTGCCAGATGGGAAAGTTGCAACAAGCAGCTATTGTATTTCCTCTTCATCATGCTGTCTTTTGGATTCATGCCGTTTTAAAGAGTTGCCATTGCCCTAGCCCCATGCTAATCAAGTCTTTGAACATGCGGGAATGTGGTGGCCTATTGTTCATCCCATAGTGTGAGCTCACAAGGGAGGCCTGTGCGGTTGGAAGTCGAGATTTGTGAAGATAGAGCGAGGGCAGGCCTACGCCATCTCCGGAGCACAATGGCTGTCACAATGGCAGCGCATGTACTGTATGTGCTCTGTCAGGGACCTCTGTGGGCCTCAGTTAGCTTACCATAAAGGCCTATGTCTGCATTCATGAAAGGCTTCTGTTTTATCCAAATACTTATTTTTCTGTCTCATCAACTGTATCCCCTGGCATTTTGCTTTTCACACTGCTTAACCGCCACATACATAGTGCTCCACAATGCTTACACAGTTCACATTTAAAGATTAAGATTTTTTTCTCTTGTGTTTTTATGTGGATCACGGCACAAAAAATAAAGACGGTTCATTTTTATTCCTCTGTTGCACAGGTGACCCCTACTAAAACGTCCAAAAAGGAAACGGCTACTCCCGATGCCGCTAAAGACAAGGTGAACAGAGGTTCATTTTAACCTATCACTCTCTGCTGCTTTTATCAAACCATATCTCTGATTATCTAATACAGACAGCTATACAATGAGCTGTCACACCCTCGTCTGTTCTGTTTCTGTTGCTTGAACTAAGGATGTTCCTGAATTTAAAAAGTAACATTTATTTTTAAAAGGTGATTTATTTTTGCAGAATTTGTGCATAAAGCTTCTTTTTTTTTTTGCATCCTTTGTTTGCTTCAGTTTAACCTTTTTTATAAGTGCTTTCTTTTCTGTTGCAAAATAGTCCCAGAAGGAGACCCAACCAGCGGCAACCACTACTGTGAGCATATAACCCATAAGTTTTGATTCCCATAACCATTGCACTTCACGTTAAATGTATATATTTACTGCACATGGTGAGTTTATTTAATTTCCGGATATGATGCCTTATTTGCTCATTTTACATAGCAATGCATTTTTATTGGGTGAAACTGGAAGGAAATACAGTTGCTGATGTCATATCTGACAAAACTGCTACATCAAAAATGTCTTTGCAGTTTAAGAGGGCTGTGTAAACCATTGCTTTAACAGCCCCTCTCTTTCTTCAATAGGTTGCACAAATATCTGAACCGCCTGCAGCACCCAAAGGAATGTCTGTCCCACCACCCCCACCTCCAGAGCCACCGAAAGTGGAAATCAAAGGAGAGCCAACTGCCAAACCTGTAAAGGCCTCTGCGAAAGAAGAACCTAAAGCTGCTGGAAAGGAGCCTGTGTCCTCGAAAGGAAAATCAGCCAAAGATACTCTGAGCAAATTTTTCCGCCAGAAGGTAAACAAACAGCTTTAACTGCAGATTACAAGATCCAATCACTATTTTAAGGAATAGCTATTCATGTAGACACTCACTGCATGTTCAATGAGAACACAGTGTGAAACATACTGTATGTCAGTTTGAGGTATTGCTAGGAGTCAAGACCTCCAAAAGCAATGGTGCTTCAGCAAGTGGAGCCAAAGCCCCGGGCAAGACTGCAGCAGTGGTACAGTAAATGATCATATTCTCAAACTGACCATGGCTCATCAGTTACTAACCGAACAAGAGCTCATTTGTCCAGAGGCACCAGAAATTTGCAATTTACTGTTTCCTAATCAGAGCTATAGTTTTGTGAAGTAGCATTAGTCCTGTGCTGAAACCTTTTCTCTTGGGAGAATCAGGTTTTCTTATTTGTTGAGAATAAGATAAGAAGAATGACGTCGTCCTTACGTTTTTGCATAATACATAAAGACAAAAATAAAAGATCATGGTATCAGCATAAGGAGCAGAAGCAGGGACAAAGGGCTAACAAGGCTCATCAGCACCCACCAGCACCACAAATGCTCACCCACAACACTGCATCTCCTTTCTTTTAACCACACTGACTGTTAAGTCACATTTGCATCACTGTGAGCTCAACAAGAAGCCATTACATTTAGCTGCTGCCCAGAGAAGGTGTTATAGGGCATAACTACAACAGATTTCTTTTTTTTATTTTAGTTTCCGTAGAGCCAAAATAAACAACATGTGTATTTTAAAATAAAAAGGCTTTAATTTACAAGATCAAATCGTTATGTTGTTACATTTTTGAGCATCCATGTTTTTTTTTCTTTTTTCTTGCTGGATTTTGTCCCATATTTAAACGCAGATCAACCAATTCAACCCAACACCTTTCATTTACATACTGAAGAATTACAAGCTGCCAAGACAGCAATAAACAAAAAATAAATAAATAAAAAGTTAAAATGAACAGACAAACAACATGAAGAGGGTAAAATTTCCAACATACATGCGCTAACAGTAAGTGGAGGAAAAAATTAATTGCTATCTGAAATAATTAAAAAGACAAAATTTCATGAAAAAGAATCACATTTACAACAATCAAACTAAACATAAGTGAGTAAAATAGATTACAACACACACACACACACACACACACACACACACACACACACACACACACACACACACACACACACA